ACCAATCATACATTAACACTTGTGTCATCTGTGCTCTTTTACTTGCATGATTACAATGGGAAAATCTTTATTCCTTTAAATGCTCCAGGTCATGTATTTTTCTAATTACAAAAAGTTTACACTTGCACATTCCTACAACATTTGCATATGCAAAATTGTTAGTCTAGCTTTGGAATCTTTGATACCCATTGGAGCCTTTTCTGTAGAAGTTGCCAAGGTATTTGGCAGTACATATTGCTGGGGGGGGGGAACTAGTTTCATTTTCCTGTGTGGTCATACGATCTCCGACACCAGTTCTGGGTGTATGTGAATAAAAAATCAGTTATTCTTAATTGAAATAGCATTAAATGTAATCTTTTGGCGAATGAGTATCATTAACAAAATATATTTTTAGCATATGGAAAGAAACTTCTGCTATTTTTCCTCATCAACATTTAGCGCATTCAACTTAAATCGGTAATCATCGCCAAGCATAATGTCAACATAAAAAGTTTCCATACTCTTTGTTATTCAATTACTAATATACATAAATTCTTTAGGCATCGCTGCATGAGTTGTCATGTTTCGATAAATATGCACTGATGATAGGAAAGTATAATAAATAATGATCTGTCAGGTTGGCGTCAAGGATATAAAATATTAGTATATAAAACCAACGATGTTTCTATGTAGAATGTTTCGGTTTGAGATGTATGGCAAGCAGATATGCAGCTACAGAGCCAAATTACTGATCACATAAATTTATGTTAAAATGATTGTTTCTTCAATAACGAGGTATTTTATTTAGTGCCAAAGTGAAATTAAGAATCGAGATTCTCCACCTGTTTTCTTACAGGGAAAAAGATCAAATGCATATGCATAAAAAAATTGTTGGCAACTTCAAGGTCCGGATTTTAGATCATTCCGCATATTGGATGTCTGGATCTTGGACTTAGTACCATATTACAGAGTTGCGCCTGTAATCTTATTTTTTAACAATTAATTTTGTTAAAACTTTCATACAAACTTCATTTAAAAGATTCTTTTATGCTCTATCAATAAAATTCTGGGATTTTTAGATTGTTCATCAAAGACATGCACAAAAAATCATTCCAGCATTAAATTTAAAAAAATAAATTACGTCCAAAAGGGCATTTTTTTAATGTTTTGTGTGTTACCTTTATTTATTAAATATCATGTTCTTTGCACTTAAACCATAAAATTCATTTCAACAGCAATGTCGCAAAATAATTTTAAAATGAGCATATCTTCAGAATTTCCGATACACAGTTCTGAGATAAAAAGGTCCCTTCCCCGTAGGGTGTTGCCATTGCTCGCCTTTCAATCGTCGAGTTTGTTACTAAAAAATTCGTTATAGTTTTACTAAATATGAAATCGATAATAAAACAAATTCCAAATTTGGGCTTCCACATGACCATATTCGTAGGAACATTACGTCATTCAAAATTCGATGGCTCTACTATGTACCGTTGTTTTATCCCAATGCGAGAAATATAGATACGTTTATGCAGAATTTTCATTATTTAACTGCTTCAAATATAATGCAGGACTCCAAGATTTGGTGGCAAGAGTTTGAAAAGTGATTCGCCGTTTATAGTCATTCAATGCAAAACAAAAACAATAGTTCTTCAGAGACAAAGCCCATTTGGACTAAAAACCTGAATCAAATTTTGAAAATGTCACATCACCACTTGTAATGCTCACACACTAATAGTGTGAGTATAAAATTTGAACTTGACAGCTTATGAGGAATTAGTTTAAAAATCAATGACAAGCTTTCAACCATAGCAACACACACCATGAGTAAACTAAATAAAAGCTTAAAAAACAGGGACAGTTGACCATGCCTAGTTAAAGTGGCCACAGTATAAATCTTTGGTGCCATTTGAAATTTACATGCTAAGGACTGGGCCACCAATTCTGGTGATTAAGTACAATGACTGCATGGCTTAACCTTTTAACTGTCATGCCCGAGATTACTGGTGTTCGAAAATGTCACGCTCAAGAATTACTTGGGGTAATTTTTTTTTTTTTTTGAGTGCATCGTATTGTTACACCCAAATATATATCGGGACACATTTATTCCGGCTTCCTCTCTTTGTCAAACGCGACTGTATCTCGGGAAAATTTAATGTGCGCTCAATTCAGTAGATGGCAGCACTTTACTGAAGATTTCAAAGGTTAGAGGTTAGAAGTTCTTTGGTTCAAAGTGTGCGGGATCTTTTTGTTGTAAAATGGCGTCCAGTTCTTTGAAACGTTATATTTAGATTCTTCAACAGAAGACGAAGATTTTGAAGGTATCGATACTAGTGACGCATGTGAAACTGAGGAGAGTGACATTGAAAGTAGCAGTGAATCAACGGATAGCGGTGATGATGATATAGGAAATGCGAGAGACTGGTGTGAAATAACTGCTTCTGGCCGATTAGGGGCCGCGTGGTTCCCTTTTACAGGTACTCCAGGTGTAACATTTTCTGTAAACATAAACTATGCTCCTTTAGATATTTTAGAAATGTCTCTGGATTCAAATCAAATGGAAATAATTGTCAAAGAAACGAACAACTATGCAGAACAAGGAAAAAAAAAAAAAAAAAAAAAAAAAAGCAAATCGGGCAAAGATATCAAGGTGCTCCCACAGTAAAAAATGGATCCTTACAGAGAATGACAGAGAAATGAAGCTATTCTTTGGGCTAATAATTCTTCAAGGTATTGTCCGAAAACCAAATCAGGCTATGTACTGGTCTCATCGAAGGATTTTGCATACTCAGTTTACTCAAAAGTAATGCCCGTAAATCGTTTTATTTTACTTTTTTGATATTTACATTTTTGCAATAATGAAGCTGAAAAAATAAGATGATTTTCCAAATCCAAAACTTTGGAAGCTGTATAATGTGATAGAAAATTTACAGGAAAAATTTTGTAATTTTTACATACCGGAAAGTGATGTATCAGTTAATGAAAGCTTGATGCCTGATAAAGGAAGGTTATCTTGGAAACAATATATTCCTATCAAACATGCACGATTTGGAATCACATTTTTTATGCTTTGTGAGGCGGAAACAGGGTATATTTGTGACTTCATTATCTATACAGGAAATAGTACTGTCTTCAATCAATTGTATACAAATTATGGACTTTCTACAAAAGTCGTCATGCACCTATTGCATCGCTTTCTTGGAAATGGTTATTTTGTGACTGTAGATAACCATTGCATGTCACCTGAGCTTGCAGATTCACTTGTAGCCCAAAAAACAGATATTTATGGCACAGTAAGCATAAATAGACGAAATTTACCTACAGAATTGGCTAAAAGAAAATTACAAAAAGGTCAAATCATAGCTTTTCAAAGAGGTAAGATTTTGGCTACAAGGTGGAAAGATAAGAAGGATGTGTGTTTGATGAGTAGCATTCATGATACTTCCATGGTCAGCCTCAAAAATAAAAAAAATGCCGAAGATTGTTTCTGACTACAATCTAACTATGGGTGGTGTAGATCACTGTGATCAGGAAATATCCTTTCATTTAACACTCCGAAAACGTCAGAAAAAATATTATAAAAAGATATTTTTACATTTACTAGTCAAGGTACTCTGGAACTCATATTTGCTCTATAAAAATGTAGTTGGAAACGTATTACATTTTTAGAATTTCGAATCCAAGTTGTAGAAGAACTTTTACATAAATATGATGATGCAGCTTCTGGACAAAAGAATGTTGGCAGACCACCTACAATAGATAACCCTTCCCATCTTAATGAACGCCATTTTATATCCCATATTCCTCCTACTCCTGCGAAACGTGAGCCTACAAGACAGTGCAAAGTGTGTTGTTTGTAAAAGTATAAAAAATGGGGAAAAGATAAGGAAGGAAACACGATTCTGGTGTAGTGATTGTGGAGTTGGTTTGTGCTTGGAAAAGTGTTTCCAGTTGTACCACGCAAGACTGAATTACTGAACTACTAATAGGTATTCACTTTTCTTTATTTTTTTCATTTATTTATTTTTTAGAAAAAAAAAAAAAAATTTTTTTTCCCATTTTTAGAAAATAATGCTCAACTAGAAGCGAACTTTACAACTGCCATGTTGAGTGGAAGCCGCCTCAAGCAAATATGCAGTGGCTACAAAACTTTAAAAATTTCACCCATGTACTTCAAACTATCAATTTTTAACTGCTAAGTATATTTTATTTTGTACTAAACATTTGATTTTTGCAATAAAAAAAATTGACAATTTGTGTACCCAAATCATCAAAATAACTTGACAGTTATAGGGTTAATAAGGAAGTACCACTTTCCTTTACTTAGCCCAGAATGATAATAAGAATGCAGGCCAGAATGATAAATAGTGACATATAATTAGTGCTATGACTTAAATATTTTTGTTTTCTTTTTCAGGACTGTATAATCCAGCACATGGAAATTTTAGACTGGAAGATTCACCACTAAGTAGAGGATGAAAACTGTTGAACTTTAATTTAAAAATACATACCCTATTATTTTACCACATCAAGTATATTGTTAATTTCTTTAACGTTTGGAATGTGTTTAGTGCTGTAACAAATATCCAAATGCTTCAGTATTTTCAGCGATAAACAATGACTCTCTTGAGGAAAATTTCTGGCAACTGCAATTGCTTGCCAGTGCATTTGGGGGGGGGGGTGAAAGTGTATGCAAATAAGCTGCAAACCATGCAGAAACTAAAGCTAACATCTGACTAGCAATTCCAAGACAGGACTTAAAAGAGCAATGGCAAATTCCCCAAATACAGCACATAGCCTGCCATTTGCCAGACTTGTAAAAAAATGAGATCCAAACATATTTACATAATTACATTTAATGTTAAGATTGATGAAAATTATTAAAAGAAAAAAAGATATTCATTATTTAAATTATAATGTTTATTATGCATCATCTTATAGGATTTCATATAATTTCAATTCTAATAGATTGTTGACAATTATAACACAAACATTTTCAACAAGAAATATTAAACAATTCTTACTTTTGATATGGATTTGATGATTAGTCTCCCTTTTATACCAGGTATGAATGTATTCTAATAATACACTTTTCCAATAAGAGACATAACTGATTCTACCTAAATCAGACAGAGGCTTCTCAGGAGTGCCTGGCAAGCCTTCTTTCCGAGACAGTAGGTAACCTAAAATTGGTATTAATTCAATTAATATTTTCCTCTCCTCAAATTATCATCTATTCTATACCTCTGGAAATCATTATGTTATAGTAAACACACTCAATTTACTCCATGTATCTCTCTCTCAAAGATGTTCTCAGGTTTGAAAATAACAAACCTTTGGAAGAAATTCAACATTTTTGATACAGCAATTTAAATACTTCATTCATAACTGGGGGAAGAAAGGAATATCTGATACATCAGGAAATAACAGCATTAGACTTTATTATTTTCAATGTCCACGGTTACAAAAATGTTAATTAAGAAAGACAACAGTGATGAAAGCTACCTGATTTTAGCAGAGTAAGTCATTTTTTATGTGGAGACTGCAGAGGAAATCAGTCAGAAAGCGCAAAGAGAAAATGGTTATTACACTATAGAGGAGATGCAGTACTGCGATGGGTAGAAAACATTATTAAAGAATATAAAGTTAACAAATTTTGTTTAATAATATAATAGTTTATCGAAACCATCTGAAAAAGTGTCAGAACAGTTCTTTCTTCCCCTTTTTTTAAAGGGAAGGGCAATCTGATTTCATGTTCAATCCTCAATTCAAACTGTCTTAATTTGAACAGTTATGAAAGGTCTTAGTTTAAGAATGAATCCCCAGAAATTCAATATATAGCACATAAAATCATATATTTAAATAAGCAGTTCAAAAAAGCTGGGGACATTAAAAAAAAACTCCTCTGATACTATCCTATCGTATATTAATATCCAGTTGACACTTCTGCACTTATCTGAACAAAGAAAAAATTAATTATTTCAGAAACAGCTGCATATTTTTATCCTGGATAATAAGATTTACAATAAATAATTCATGAAGTGGCAGCAATTTTCATTTTGACACACACAAAATTTAACTATTAAAACAATCACACCTAATTTCAAGTGTTTTAAAAAATAGTAGGCACATTGTTTACTTTACTGAAATCAGATTAAACAAATTTTCTGAATTAGAATTAATTTTATAGAGAATCATTTATGCCACAATAGAATAATGCACACTGATAAAAATTTTAGGTACACAGAGGAATAACCAGATTTTGTCCCATATAATATACTTTCAATTATGCAAAAATCTTTTAGGCTCTTTCGGTAAATGAATTTATGTTACACTAGTTCATAGTTTTAAAATAAAGGAAGAGATTTAGGAATTAATTTTACAGTCATACATTACTCAGGGTTCGTAGCCACATTTTAGTTAAAAAAATAAGCACCTGTCTAATTACATTATACACAACTGCATAACCTTAAAAAAAAATTAGACTTGTAATTTAAAATATGAGCAATGCAATATTTATTAAGAGAATGAGCATTACCTCAACCATGGAAAACAATTAACTTTTTTTTTTTTTTTTTTTTAAATTTAAATGACAGTTCAATTTACAGAATTAGTTTACAATGAGAGGGAAAAAAAAAAAAAAAAAAAAAAAAACTATCAGAACTAAACTATATTACAAGATTTAATGGTAAATATTAATAATATACTTTCAATTATGCAAAAATCTTTTAGGCTCTTTCGGTAAATGAATTTATGTTACACTAGTTCATAGTTTTAAAATAAAGGAAGAGATTTAGGAATTAATTTTACAGTCATACATTACTCAGGGTTCGTAGCCACATTTTAGTTAAAAAAAATAAGCACCTGTCTAATTACATTATACACAACTGCATAACCTTAAAAAAAAATTAGACTTGTAATTTAAAATATGAGCAATGCAATATTTATTAAGAGAATGAGCATTACCTCAACCATGGAAAACAATTAACTTTTTTTTTTTTTTTTTAAATTTAAATGACAGTTCAATTTACAGAATTAGTTTACAATGAGAGGGAAAAAACAAAACTATCAGAACTAAACTATATTACAAGATTTAATGATGAAATTTCAGCTCAAAATATAGAAAATAAATAAATAATAAGCCATATTAATTGTATTCGTTTGGCACCTAATAATAAATACAATTTATTTTTCCACTCATATTAATACAGTCAAAAGTCGTTAATCTCGACTTATCAATATTAGAGATTTCGCGGAATCTTCGTTTGGGTTAGGTAGACCGCAAAAACTTTTAGTCCTATTCAATCCAGATTGGACAGTGACAAAAAAAAAAAAAAAAAAGTCCGCTGCTTCAATATTAGAGATTTTGTGGAGAAAGGGGAGAACCTCCCAACCATCCTACTGTACAATGTATTGGCAGAAAAAAAAAAAAAAAAAAAAAAAAAAATGAAATTATTTTGACTATTTGATTACTTTCCTTTTATTTAAGCCATTCCTGAAATATTATTCCTTAGAAAGCTGTGTAAAAACACACCCATTTTTTGGAAGTTTATACTTCACCAGTTACTGCAACTATATTATTATAAATATTCATGCATATACTCATAATACAAGCATAACGATCATAATAAACACGAATATGAACTGACCATGCGGAACGAGAATGCAAATTATTAAAATCTTGATAGAAATTCAAACATGTGTATTATTTGGGTGGGAGGACCGAATTGGAATTTGGAAAGAATACCGAATGTACCGGAATTTTCTACCGTTTTCATAATTCTTTGACCAATAGAACGACATGCACCTGTCTGTACTCTCACGCACACCATAGGTTACATTAATGCAGAGAAAGGGGGGAAAGCAATTTCCCGGAGTATGATTCACCATCTGATGTTGCATATAAGGAATAAAAGTTGTTTATTTAGTTTCGGCTTTGGTACGGGGAAAAATGCACAATCATTAAAAAAAAAAAGCACTAAAAGCAAAAAATAAGCACTCAAAACAAACAAACAAACAAACAAAAAAAAAAAAAAAAAAAAAAAAAAAAAAAAAGAGGCTTTTAAAGAAAAAGTAAGCACCTATAAGGGCCTTTATATTTTATTTTCAAATATAAGGACTTATAAGCACTTGTAAGGACCACTACGAACCCTGAGCTTAAACAAATTTTCTGAATTAGAATTAATTTTATAGATAATCATTTCTGCCACAATAGAATAATGCACACTGATAAAAATTTTAGGTACACAGAGGAATACCAGATTTTATCCCATATAATATACTTTTAATTATGCAAAAATCTTTTAGGCTCTTTCGGTAAATGAATTTATGTTACACTAGTTCATAGTTTTAAAGTAAAGGAAGAGATTTAGGAATTAATTTTACAGTCATACATTACATCAAATAAATTGACGAAATATGATATAATGTTATGTATACACATTATATAACAATATTGATATAATATAAATAAATTATATCAAATAAATTATGAGGATGTATAAATACGTAATTAGAAACAAGTTATTAAAATTTTGCAATTCTGAAGCAAGCATTTTACTTGGAACGAATTTGTAATTATTAGTTAGCTGTATACATAGTTAAGCACTCTCATACAAATTAAGAAAACTTAAATTTTTAAATTACTTGCTGCTTGTAGGGCCAGCCACCTAAAGCAGCTATTATAAATAAAGAAAAATTATATAAGATGATTTTAATGAATTCATGGCTTCAGCTAGTAATTAAGAATACTTGAAATGAATCTATGGTTTGTACATTTCTGCACGTGGAAATTAAGCACTTTTAATGACCATTAATGAAAAAAATTAAGGACTTATCAGAAAATGGGAACTGAATAAATCCAATTAAAAATATTATTTATGCCTGAAGTTCACTTTTGTAATACCATCCTAAGAATAAAATAGATCCAAAAGTAGGATGCATTATTGTTACACATAATTTAATAAACATAATTATAAAACGAATTTGAGAACAAAATCAACTTTAATGAAATTTATCAAGTAGCATTAAATATTAGCGACACTTTATTTATGTTTTATTATCAGTTAGCATTATGCTGATTTTTTCTTTTATGTCCCATTTTGCCACATACCATGTTTTTCTGAAAATAAGATATCCTCCGAAAATAAGCCCTATTGTGGTTTTCGAAACTTTTTGTAAAAAAAAGACATCACCCAAACGTTCACAGGAAAGGCATCATCATCCGTTAGACAAAATAACTGATAGTGATGTTTCCAATGCACTACGAACAGGCTACTTAGACAAGAAGTATTCATTTAACGACAGCTATATCGCAAAACATGAGAGATTCGGACGATGATTCAACAGGAAATGGATTTGGAAGAAAATCAGAATATAATTCAAAATTTTATTTATGACGATGTTCCTGAAGAAGATGACATGACTGTAATTGAATAAATTTAAATTTCTGTATTCTGTGTAAAATAAATATTAAATAAAAATATATAAATATACTTTTATTTTTGCCCTCCCCCGAAAATAAGCCCTAGCGCGTATTTTGGACCAAAAAAGAAAGTAAGACAGTGTCTTATTTTTGGAAAAAGACGGTACTTGGTCAGTGTAGAGGTTTAGTAAACAGGAAGATTTTATGTCAAACAGCATAGGTCAAAATAAGAAGTAAAATCATAATCAGCATGATTCATAACAAAAGACTGGCTGTTGGCATTTCTGCTTCTTGCCTAGAGAGATCTGCTGATCAAAACAAACTTGAAAGCCTAATGTAGGCACGGTTGGCAAATTTCGATTGGCAAAGCTAGTTGGACTCTTGTCTGGCGCAGTTAGAATCTTAGCTTCATGCTGAGTTCCTGGGGTTGGAACCCAGTTAATATGCTTTAAAGTTCCAATAAGTCACAAAAGCACCAGAGGTGATAAATTGTTTTGTATTATTTTAGTCTCACTACATGCAAAGAATAAACTTTACATTTTTTGCTGTATCTTGTGATCATGGTAAGGATCAATGAAAGGCATTAACAGGCTTTAACATGCAGAGATAACTTTTAAGGGTGAGCAGTTAGAAAAAATTTAATTAGGTAGTTAAGATGCCATTATAGATTTACATGGCCACTATTTATTGTTTAAAAATATTTGTTAAAAAAGCACTATTAAAATCACAATCTAATAACATTTCACAGTTATGACATTGATTCTTAAACAATATACTTAACAAACAATTATATAATTACATATTAAAAGCAACAAAACATTTACATTTTGTAGCAACAACACTCAACAAAATATTTATGGGTCTTTTTTAATCTGAACCCTTCCCAGACATTTTGGCTAATTTATATCAATTTCCTTCTCATTAAGCATCTTTTCTAACAATTAGGAGCTGTTTCAATATGCAAACCAATGTTTCCACTAGTTTCTGCATGCTTTATCTGCTAACTTGTCAATCTCCCAACAATGTACCTATAAGGTTTTATTTGATCTGGTAAACGTCAAATAGTCCCAAACCCTTGACAGATGCGAAGCAAATTGTCTGAGAGTAACTAAACATCTTAATTTAAAAAGAACTTAGAACATAAAGACACATTCTTACGCTAGCAAAGTCAACTACAGCTTGTGGTAATGATGTCAAACAAGAACAGTCAAATTCATACTAAAAATATGATCAAAGACTACACAATTGAATTTTAATCTAAGCTGGCTCAGAAATTTTTCAAATGTTGGCAGTCATAATGCAAAGACGAATAATTACAAATCACCAGGTACTAATGCAGCATGCAAGTGGAGCCCAGAAACACACAACTCCCAAAAATAGCAAGTGATTTGCATTCTGGTGAGGAAATGGAGAGCGGAAGTTATAGTAAAGGCTGAAATTATAAACAAATTTTTAATTTACATAATAATAATTGTACATATCATTAAAGAATAATTTTCTTTCTCTTTATGTATTCAGTATCTTTCTTCAAGACATTTCCTTTGTATTTTCCTTTGTATTTCAAGACATTTCCTTTGTATTTTTAATTAAAGATTTTCATTATTCTAAAAAAACTAAATGCATTTAGAATGTATAGAAAAAGGTGCTAATTTTATTTCTTCAGTAATATGAACATTCAAAATAAATATGAATTGATATATGATAAGGGATATATATGGTAATGTAACAGAGAGGGTATGACAGAATTTAGTGACACATCGAGCAACAAAATCTCGAAATGGCAAAACTTTTAGAATTTAGTGCAGGCACTGGAAGCAAAACTTAGGAAGGCACTAGGCAGCAGAATTTAGGATCAACAGAGATTGCACCAGTTGGGAAAATGCCTTCTGCCAGGCTGGTGCATGTTGTATATAAGATGAATCTTTTGAGTTTTCAATTTTTTTTAATTGAAAAATTCCTTTCTATAAATGCCTGTTCATGTGATAATATTAGAAGCATTTTTGATATTTCCCATGCTTATGTCTAGTGAAAAGTAGAGAAAATAAATGGAAGATAAACATGTTAAGAAAAAGACTTTCAAGTATTAGAAGTAAAATTTTCAAATACTATGTTCTCATTGTTCTTCCTAAAATTCTCCCAAAAGTAAAAAAATTAATCACAAACTTTCTGTAAAATACATCCATTACATATTAATACCATGAAGACATTTTCATTTTGCCATAGTTTTCTGAAATCTTCTAGAATAGTAAGTCTATAAATCTTGCCTTCAAATCCTTCTAAACTTTCCTAGTTGTAATGTCTAAAATCCTAAAGAAAAATTACCTCTACCCATTTTGTAACAGCAAAGAGGCAGAAATATTTGGGAGGGGGTATCAAGAGGGGAAAAAGTGTAAAATTAATTTTATACAGAAAACTGAGGTACATTTTGAGATAATTACACAGGAAAAACTTTTACGATGAAAAGATTAAAAAGAAGACATTTTAAACTAATTACATAGCTATTTTGATAAGAAATGTTTCAGAAATTCCACTTTTATAGCAGTTATTACCTTGTTTATTTTTCAGATTCAAAATATTATATAAGTCGTCACCAAAATGGAAAGTAATGTCACTTTATAATATGACATGGAAAAATAATAATGTTTATTTTAGACTGTTATTTATTATTATATTATTTTTTAAAATAGTATTTTAATGAAATTTATCAATGTTATGATGTTTTAAAAAATTGTCGAGAAATTCCCAGATCAGCAAAATAAAAATTTTATACAGAAACTGACCTTTAAATTGCCAAAATGTGACAAGTCACCAAATTTAGAACTGTTTAATAAAAGAATTCACTTCCCCAAAAGCTCAGAGCTTTAGAGCTCTTTATTAGGGGGGGGGGAAATTCAAAATGCTTATGTTTCATTTTTTGCCTAGAAATCCAAGTATCCCTCAGTTTATATTAGAACTAGGAACACATTATAACCCATAATCCCATTCAGAAGACAACCATACGTGTCAGTGAATCGTCAAAAATATTCCTCCAAAATGCTAATTCACAGTCAAAATAGCAGTCGTAAAAACAGACATAAATTATTAAAATTATGGCCCATGATTAAAATTCCCTTCTTCCGATTTTAGCCGAAATTAAGGACTTTTAAGGACCGAAAATTGATTCCAAAAAACTTAAGGACTTTTAAGGAGGGTAAGGAATTCTGGAATTTGTATTTATTGCTTTACTAAGCATGTTAATTAATAACGAAATATATTTGAAAAAATAAATCTCTTACACTTCAAATGGTAAATGGCACGTGGAATATAAAAATATTCAATTTTGCGCAGTAATTTGGGGCTTTTGAATCACTCATTTTTTTAAAATTAAATTTAAAATACAAATATCTTATGCTTTGCTGAATTGCAACACAGTTCTTTTATAGCATTGAGTTCGATGATTAAATATGACACACAATTTTTTTATGCCTTGATTAATGGCAATACCAAACTTTCACATTGCTGAATTTTTAAAGTTTCTTAAATTTATACAAAATATGAAATAAATAATAAATAAAAATCTGAAAATTTAGGCTTTGAGGAACATATATTCGGGTAGACGGCTATGAGTGTTCGAAATTCGATACCTGTACGTGCCACAGTTTTTCTACAATGCAATTAAATTCAAAAGACTAACATATTGCACTGTGCTAAGTGGCAATACTTTTTTAAGTATCACTGAATTTTCTAACTAAATTTGAAACACAAATATCTGACACTTTGCTCAGTGCAACACAAGTCTCTCAATCTAAAGTTCATTAAAAAAAAAAAAAAAAAAAAAAAAAAAAAAAAAAAAACACAAGAAATTGAGATATACATGTTTGGGTGGAGGACTATTTATGTTCAAAATTTGGTCTTCCTACATGATGCCATTTTCCCACAATGCGAGGAACATGGAACATACGCATATACATACACAGAGATTCTTCATTATTTAATAGTAAAGAAATGAGAATGTATACTTATCCAAAATGCAAACTGAGCTAAACAAGCAGCATATTTCTTTTAAAAGAATGAAAGAACTGATTTAATAATATACTCACTAAAATCAATGAGGAATCTTCCATAACCCTGACGCTGATATTGTGGCATTGTCATAATACAGGAAACATTGTATCTCTGTTGGCACAGCTTTTCCTGCAATTGATTAAAAAACTGAAGTCAATCTCTAAAAACTAAAAGTATGTTATTATTTGTCCTGAAATTATAATAACCATAATACTAGCTCAATTTAGAAAATAACAATATTAAGCAAAATTTCCATGTTCCAAATAAATGAGCATGAACACTAACTCATTTTAAATGAGTATGCAGTTTTTTAATTTCCAGTTTTCAAAACCACTAATCTATCATAACAATTAATAACATATTCCTAATTCCCAGCATTTTTATACAATTATCCTATTGGGTTGTAGGAATCCATCCTAAAGAATGAGCCTCGATGAATTTTTGAGTAAGTATTTTATTTGTGGCTACTTTCTCTTTGGCTGCAATACAATTTTAATGCATCATCATGTAAATTTGCATCTTAAATATAAATTTGTTGAATTTCATTATTGTACTCAAATGCCACATTAGCTATGGTCAACACTTTTTTACTTTGAAGACCAGTGCTATTTAGGATCGGCAACTGATCGCTGCAAACTCATATAGTGTGTGTACACATAACTGTGTCAGATTTACAGCAATGCTATGACGCTATTGACATACACATAGTTGGAAAAGTTAGCAAAATATGTGATAACTTAGGGCAAACTTTAGCAAGTAGTATAATTTGCCCATCAATATCAGAGTGTGGAAACCACTGGTTTCCTGCAGTCCTACTATGACATTAAGTTTAATGGTCAAACACAGTTGCCTTTTTTTTATTCATACCTCAATTTCATCATCATAAGAAATTATATACATATTTAAAAAAAAAAAAAAAAAAAAAAAAAATACCTATGTATAAACACAAAATTGACCTTCACTTCGTGAAGAATGAAATATCTAGGTGAAATGTATTTGTGTCAAACCATGGTGTGTGTTTTGTGGAATTCATACAATACTCATTTAGTCTGCCACAACCGTACTGTTGGCAACAAACTTATGATTTCTTTCTGTAGCACAGCAAAGTCCTACATAACAGTGCAACACTATGTGTTACAGATATGACCCACCAAGAGGTACTAGGTGGTTGTTTATTGTATTGACAGGGATTTGTACTCTGGCAGTCTTGGCACCACAGGATAAAAACCTCAGCCTGGCATTTCACTTGTCTAACTGGGAGCTACCTTGAGATAAAACTTCACTGGCTCAGCCTGAAGAAGTTGGTGTAAGTTAGCTATCATTCAGGTAACTTGAACAGACTGGTGGGTAGCAAATTTGAAGAACAGTCAGATCTTTAGGCTCTTATGCTTCTGCCACTGTGATTGCTGATGGCCACCATAAGTGGTGACCTCGACAAGTCATGTAATGACAGTTTAGAGAGAAACTTACTTAAAGCCAATCGTCTCGGACTTGGATTTCTTGAAGTGCAGCAGGATTAGCATATTAACCTCTCTGGGACTTTTGACTGGTGATCCACCTCCAGCCTTACATGGGGAATACATACAACTGGGATTGTTCTGTACAAGCACCTGATTTAGCAGAGCACGATTGACAAATATTATCTACTCATTGTAAAAACCACATTTTGCAAACTTCTTTATTTTAAAACCAGCTTACTTAAGAAGGCAGGATATAAAATCTGCTCAAACATTGCTAAGCCTTAGGATGGAAACAAATGTCTACTTTTTCATGATGATCACTTTTTGATTTTGTATAAAATATGGTATGCTAATAAGATAGCCATATTTTCCAACAACATGAAAGTTTGGTGCTGTAAAAAGGACAGGAGGGGCTGCAGCAACACTTTTTAAAATCATGACAAAAGCAGACGTTTTATGAGTTTTATGCACACACATCCTGAAAGAAAATTTCTGATAAGAATTATTTCTTTTTAACCTTCATTGTTTAGCATTAAAGTATTTAACTTTTTATTAAATATACTGAAATGGACTGTATGAAAAATCAGGATTATTTTTAACTTTATAATTTAATTAATTTTCAAGTATTTGATCTATGTAATTTTGTGATTAATATTACATGTAGCCTTTAATAATTAACATTAAAATACATGTCATTTTTGAGGTAATGGATTATGGCTTATTCACAAAAAAGGTTGTTAATTTGAATATTTTGAATAGAATTTCTCAATTTTACACTTTTTTATAAGTGTTAAATTATTAATTCTTTTTATTTACAGACAATAATATGTGTACATAAATAAAAGCACTATTTTGGATTTTTTATCTTAAAACTGTTTTATTAAATATTAAAATGTAAAAAAAATATTCAAATTAGAGTTAAATACAAAAATTACAACTTTAAAGATATTATTCAGCTTTAATAAAGTTGTTAATTGTTTAATACAAAGTCAGTTAATTTGCTTACATTTACTTTAAACTTACAAATTTTCATATGAGGGTACTCATAATACCATATTTCTCAGATGCATCTCTTTCTTTATACAAACATAACTAATAAGGAACAGTGTTTAAAAACCAGACTTTCCAAAGTCAGCAATATTCAAACAATTAATTAATCATTCATGAAATTTTTCTAAAATAACTATTTAAATAGACATACTATTATTGGTAAGTTAGTTATTAAATATATTTATTGGATGCATTTAGTTTTTGTATTTTCTCAGAATCAGCTTTCATGTTGTTAGTGATACTCTAGTTAAGGGCTGTGTCTCAGAACTGAGGTAATATAGTACAATTTTGCTCCCATAAATCAAAACAAAAATCTACAATACAAACAAATGTAAAATATACAATATAATTCCTATATGCAATTACTGGATTCTTCATTTTTAAACAAGATGTAAAAAGCAAAGAGACAGACTGTTTCAAAATACCTTAGAGAAATATCCCACAAAGTGACAACCAGTTTCATCATTCTTGGTCAAAACATAAAAAAGGAATGGCTCAACATCATAATACAAAGTCTTGTGATCTAAAAATAACTTTGCAAGAAGACAAACATTCTGGCAATATAGTTTGTTGACATTACCATCGACCTCAAAGACCGATAAGTCATCTTTCCGGTATATTTCTGTACCTGGTGGATGCGTCCAGTTGCACTTGCGCTACAAGAAAAGTAAATCATAACAATTAAGGGTAATAATATAGATGGCTTTTAAATAATTGACATACAACAACAATGATTATTTAATGACCAATTTTAGCATCTAGTCACTGATCACAATGCCCAGTCATTACAGCAAATGAAATAAAGATTCATTTTAAGTAAGGTTGGGCTTCCCGGGACTCTAAAACTGAATGACCCCTTGGTGAGCTCACCTACTTTGTGATAAAAAGGAGAATAAAATGTAGTTTCTGAGGAATAAGCTATCATAGGTTCCTTAAAAACAAAGAAACTGAGGAGCATTGGAAAGTTGCTTGCAAATGATTATAAGAGATTGCAAATGCAAATATCTGCTCAAATACGTTTTAAATATGATGGATTTTGCCAAGAATACATGCATAAAATACAGAGACAACAAATTGTGAAACTGGCACAATTTCTGGTGTCTTTACAAAAACTGTATATTGGAGGAGGGGTTCAACTTGCATATGTACATAAAAAAGGCCAGTTTTTGTAAAAGTTACCGAAAAAAGTTGTAGGTGGTTAAGAATCATCAAAATATTTCCGATTTTCAGCAGGTACTATAAAGGACGACAGTAAGTATTATTCTGTGGATTTTGCATAAGACTAAATGCTGTTTTAAAGTCTGCCAAGTGACAGATGGAACAAATACCAAAACTTAGTACTGAATGCAGAGAAAATTTGTATTTCTATTGTTTTATGACAATCCTGGGATTTATGGCAGAATTTGTCTGAAAAGACAACATCATTTCATTAATTTGGTCAAGTGCACCCCAGTGCCTCATGCCTTCGATATAATTATAATGATGCTCTAGGCAGAACTGAGTAGAAATCTGATCTTGAAAATTTTATTTTAACAATAAAATTACATTAAAAAGCACTTATTAAATTTTAATTTCCCTCTGTATATTTAATTTGAATCATTTAATTACTTTAACTATTTAATGATTTCAATTATTAATAAATATTAATTAATCTGGTAATAATTAACAATAAAATTTTTAAATTATTACTGATTTTAATGGCAATTTGATTTATTTATTTTACTCTTGTTCCTCTTTCCTGGCAGTCTTGCATAGGGCTCCAGCACTTCTAATTTTAAATATTAAGCTCTGATCATATGCATGACAACCCTTTCTTCTCATTTGGTGCTGATATGAGGCTGGTACAGTCACTCCCATCCCACCACCAATCAATTCTGTTTTCAGCATCCAACATAAGCGCAATAATGTTTTCGTCTGATGTCTGTATAAGCCATATTACTACAGTCAAACTCAGAAACTTGTTCAAATGTCAATAAGTCATACTGAAATTGCAGAAAACAGAGAAAACATAAAATTTCAGAACTTGAAACAATCTACTATTCTTCCCTTTCATAGTGCTTTTGGGTATGTTATTGACACACATGATTAGCATATGCATATCCAACAGAAGTCTCTATACAAAGCATATTTCAAATCTAATAGATGCTTCCTTCACAGTGCTGTATTTTGAATGGCCAGCAATATATTTAGAATATTCAGCTTGCAAAATAAACCTTGTTGCTTTAAGTTGTTAAGATGTTGGAATTTCACTTACAAAGATTAATTGCATCAACAAAAATTATTGGATACAAACTTTTTGATAATGTCAAAAACGTTTTGATAAATTCTGTAAATAACAGAATTTGAACACCAAACCAAGCAATCACCATATAGCTTTATTCATTTTTTGATTCAAAAAATTATATAAAACTTCACATATGTATCACCAAAGCCATCATCCAGCCTTTAAAAAAAAATTATTTAAACAGTTATCGCAACTTCATTTAAGCCCCGTTCACAAGAGCAGATTCGACCGGTAGCGAAAACCGGTTCTTCCAACGTGTCCCGTTCACATGGGACAAGCATTAACTGCCTCGCCGAATTGGAGGTAGAACTTGGTTGAATGTTCCTTACCTCTCGGGAGCAGGGCAAATGGGGAGATTTCCCGTACCATACTGCGCGATTCACTTAATTTTAGTTACTGCTCGCTGGACTGTCAGCGAAATAATAGCGCTGATAAATGTCTGGCGATGTGATAGCATTCCCCCAAAAATTAGATAGAACTGTACAAGATACGGAAATTATAGACAAATACAGACAAGGCTATCGTTCAAATTAAAGCTAATAAGTTAAGACAAGTGCATATAGGCTTCAACGCGAAAAGGGACTCAGTATCTTTTGAATGATTTTTTTAAAAAAAATTTAAGCATTTTCATCTACTTTTTATGAATATTATTAAATAGTTTTGTGAGACAAAATAATTTTAAGCTGAAAAAGCGTTTTTGCTAGTATTTTTTTAATTTAAATTTTTGAAGAAAAATTTTACAATTAAAATGTCTTTCTTCTCCTACAATTTTCAATGTCTCCCAGTTTTTTATTCTATTTATTAGAGTGTTCTTAATAACTTCCAAGGAATGATTTTGCAATTAATGAATCAGTTTCTGAGGGGGGAAAATACGCTTTTATCTAAAATCTTTAAAACAAATATGATCTCAGTCACATTTTCATTTCAAATAATTTTTTCCTTTCAGTATTTTGCAAAACCCATCCTTGTTTCTATAAAGTATGTAATTTTATATAAGCAGTAAAAATAATAAAAAATTTAGTCCACACCTGTATATGTTTTAGGACTTTAAGTAAAAGGATTTATTGAAAAAAGTGCAAAAGGTTTCTCAGTTTGCATTTGCCAGTTTAAAGAATACAAACTGTCTAAATAGATATTTAATCATTTCAAATCTTTAAAATTTTATTACTGAATTTCGATACACACATATGTATATAAATCAAACCTAGTGCTATTTATTCAATTGGTAAATATAAACATAAATTACAAACCTTTTTTTAAAACCTTATGTGGCCAGAAAAATTGCAAAAACTCATAAAACGCAAGCAGAATTCTTCTTTACCTGTTTTTGTTTTTTAAAACACGTTCAAAACAACTTTAATACATTAATTAATTATAATATTGTTGCGTGCGTACGGGTTTGTAATAGATTGATAATAATTCGTAAATGATTGTCATTTCACTCAAATTCCGACGATAGCTTAATTAAATTTATTTTATCAATCAGATAAACACTTCACAGTTCTGGAATTTTCCACAGAAATACTCGTACAAGTGTTTAGAATATCACTAAGTATAATCAGTAGTTATGCTTCAATCTAATAAGAACGTAAGAAATATCTCCAATCTCACGCTGAATTAACAACTGGTAATAACAAACTTATATAGCATAAATAATGTCATAAAAATAATGTGGTATAATGAGATTATTACTTTGAAACCGATGTTTCGAATTGAAGCCCAAGAAGAACCAATATTTCCCATTCTGCTTTATGCATATCTTTCAAAAAAGTAAAAAAAAAAAATCATCCGATTAATTTCCTTTATCATTTTTTTAAATGCAAAAAGTTTGCTTTATAAGCTGTGAAAATGTCGGAAGTTTGTGAACCGATATATTTTTAGATATGAAATTTTAAAATTAATGGGAGTCAAAAAGTCTAAAAATATGAACGATTTTCAAAAATTTCTCCCAAAATATTTTTTTTTTAAATTACGCTAAAAATTTCATTTAATTTTTTTTCCTTCCATAGTGTATGTACAAATTTGTGTTATGGTGCAAACTATAATACTCTGATATTCTCAGTTTATTTAGTTAATATTTGCAAAATATCGTTTCAAACTTTAAATTTGAAAAAGAATCTAATCCTCTAAAAATCAAAAGCGTGACACCACATTCACAAGCAGTGTATGTACAAAGTTTGAGTTATATATTTTATCGGGAAGCAGTTTAAAAATCCATTACCATCTTTTAACCATAGCGACAAGCACCAAGAGTGAACTAAATAACAGCTTATAAAATAATAATAATAATTAAAAAGCATATATTTTTCAGGAACCATTACGAAAGTTCAGGTACCAGTTGCGAAAGTACAGATTACAAAATTAATAACAGTAAACCACGTTAAAAATGTGCAAACAGTATTAGAAATCTGCCAATTCGGAGACGTGATTGTTCACAGAGGCTTTAGGTGTAAAGGGGAAGGAAGACGGTGGTCTTCTGAACGGGTCCTAAAGACGAAACTCTTTCATGTCTCCTTTTTCTCCCCTTGCTAACGGCAGCTGTGCGAAGGAGCGTTGCATGTGAACGGGGCTTTACAATATAAAACTTATAACTTTTAATGTGCATGCATAAAAAATAATTTAATATTAAAACTATATGATGTCTTCCAAGCATAGATTATCAAACTGTATCTCAAAACAAAAGCAAATCTTACCATGTGCCTTAATAAAATATTCTTGCTCTTCATGTATTTTACAGAATTCGCACAAGAACAATTTTGGTAGCCTAAAAAGCAAATAAAAAAGAGAAAAAAACACTGTTACTATATAATATAATTTAAAATTTTGTATTAGAGAGCTTAAAACGTTCACATTTTTTACAGAACACAGTCTTACACCACAAGAGAAAAAAATAAATAAATCTTTCACTGCTTATCATGGTTGCCTCAAACCACTGTTACTCAATAATTTTAGTTTTCCGTGAGAAGTTGCTAGGTTTTGTACAAGAAGTTGTGACATATATGCTAATTTTATGTAAAATTATGAACTAATTTTTGACTTAATTTTATTCCAATCTTATCGAATAAATTTACTGAGATTTTACCTTATGCCTTTTCAATATTATCCATAAGCAATCAAGTAATAAGTTACGTTTTGTTCTTTTGTATATGTTAAAAAAATTATTGGCTGCACATAGTACAGTTTCAATAATCTACGACCACCTGATTCATGAATGCTTGTAATCCACATTCAATTTTGAATGTACACTAACAAAAATTTCATTTTTCAGAAAATTTAGCATGAGAAATATATATATTTTCTTACTTTGCCTCAGTGCTCGCTTTTTATAATAGACAAGAATTGTGAAATTCAGCAAATTTTTTGCTAATTTTGAATTTATGTGATTAATTTTAAAATTATGTTTCAAGAATTTATTTGCTCACAGCTTGTAATTCGTGTGCTTACATTTCAGACAATGGCCAGGCACAGACAAATAGATAGGTTCTTGAAAATAGCACTTATAAAGGAATTCCTACCTTTAAAAATCGTATAGGGACAGCACATAACTTCCATGCATGGTCTAGTAAATTATACACATTTTTCTGCATTTCATTTAAACTTATTTCCTTGAATTTCATTAGAGATATATTTCTCATTAAATTAGTTCTCACTTTGCGACAAGGCAAATATACATAATAACTCAAAATATCTATATTAAAAATATAAAACACCAAATACAGTTAGATCAGTTTTTATACGCAAAAACCAGCAATTCGGCGAGAAGGCAGGGAGACAGATTTTGGAGGGCACAAGTTTACTCATGGTCCCACTCCTGCTTGTATTGACATTATTTTCTTGTATAAAATTACATTAAAAAAACATAACAGTTTTGCAAACTATAAATCTTAAGGCATTGGTGTGTTTTAGTCAGTTGCCTGTCACATTAATCTCATAAGTAATGCCAGTTGCCAGCCAGATTAATCTCATAAGTAACGCCATTTTCCAGACAAGGATTAATGGCTCCATTCAAATAAATTCTGGCTTCCAAAGCAGGCAGGTAATTAATCTATTGCTTTAATAGCCTCTCATCAAAATGGTTGTCACAAAAGAGCCCAACAGACACATTATGAGTACAAAAGGAAAAAAAAAAAAAAAAAAAAAAAAAAAAAAAAAAAAAAAAGGCAATGGTGCAGCAAATGCAGAGGAAAAGTGGAGTAAATGTGTTCTGAATATATACCAGCACAAATAATGGTTCAGTAAATTTCAATTAGGCAACTTTAGGTTACAAAATATCAGCTACCATCTGCCTTTTTTTGATAATAATGTGTTAAAAGCTGCAACTGAAAGAAATTTATAGACTATTGATGAAGACTAAGTAGAAGAAGTTGTTTCATCATCATTAGTTGTCCACTGCCATTTGAAGGGTGTCGGCAAGTGGTTCCCACATGAGCTTTATAATAGGAATTTCAGCATCTTGGCTGAAGACGACATACTGCAGTTTTCATTGTCTTCGGCATTCTGCGTGCACAATGTGGCTCACTTAAAGACATCCATCTGCCGAGGCCAAGTGCAATGCCAAATTTGTGCAATTCTCCGATTTTTTTTCGTAAGCAAAAGCAGACTGCTATACATATATATAGGAAGAACAACACTACAAAATATAATAAGGATATAGTTTGTTACAACATATAAGGATATTCATATATATTTTCTTGAACTGATTTCTTGAAAAGGGCAATACAACACAGTGAAGGAAAACGAGTTTTAAGTAGCATTTACCTTGCATACTCTTGAGGATATGGGGAAGAATACCAAGTCTCAATGCCATATTTGCCAAATTCAATGGCTCCAGGACTTCTGCCCTGAGGTTCAGGTGGAATTGAACCATGTCCCATTGCCTAAAAATATTCATAAATTTATATTCTAACTGTATAATATAACAGACCATGCTGTGTTGTTAATAAAATAAACTGGTACATTATTTTGGATGCGCTGAGAAATGAACTAACTAAGATAATAAGCAAATATAAGCAATTACTTTAAATGCCCAACCTGAAATATTTTCTATATTTGAATTTTGCTAAAAAGATTAAAATTCACTGTAATACAACATAACTTACAAGTTATATATCATTCTTCTCAACATTAAAAAGAAGTTATAGAAGAGATCTTAAGATAATTATCATTAAAAAAGTTATAGAAGAGATCTTAAGATAATTATCATGTTGGCTAACATTAGCAAGTCTGTAATCTTCCTTTTTTTGTTAAGCAGTACAGTTCTCAATTAATTTACGTAAATTACGTTTAATTTCTTCTTCCAATATTTCAGAAAATTTTTAAAAATTCCAAGGCAATTTTTGCACATAACTTTACATTAGCAAGATTTAATTGATATATTTTGAATATAATATACATAGTATGTTTTATAACTATGACAGCAACATTAAGAAATGTTGACTCTACAATTAAGTCTCAATTTATTGAATATAACATACATAGTATGTTTTATAACTATGACAGCAACGTTAAGGAATGTTCTGACTATACAATCAAGTCCCAATTTAATCAGACAATATCACAGATGACAATCATGGTTACTTCAAAATCACTACTAATACAAGAGGAGTTTAAAAAAAAGGAAGGAGAATAACCCATATTACAATTAAAAGACAAATACTACAGTACAACTCACTTATAAGGAGCCCTTAAACCCAGAAGCGGTAGCAGAATTTAGGGAAGACATAATTTTTGAAATTTGGGGAAGCACCAAGTGGCAAAATTAACCCGGCGGAAGTCGCACCAAGAAAAGTTACTAGAGTGGGCGTGTGGGATACCACATACCTCAATATTTAAAATACGATAAAAACAGTTTTATTTAGTTTTAAAGCTGTTTTATTGTTCTCGTGTATTATAAATGTGTGAATAATAATTGGGTTTCAAAAATTAATTTCCAAAATAATCTTAGAGTTAAAATTAAGATAAATGAAAATAATAAAAAACTAAACATCATGCCTATAAGTTTCATTGCATCTTTAATACACAATGCTTATTTTATTTCTTTACACTTTGAACAAAATACATTCATGTGTTCTTGGCACAGAATGTTTTCACATTTTAAACATTACTTTCACGTTCTTCTGTCCTTGGCGCGATGGCAATTTATCACATCTTTCATATTTAGTTGTTTTCGAATTTCATGTATTAGTTTTAATTCTTCGTCGAAACTTCTGCGCTTGTTTTGAATGCAGTACATCAGGTATAGTAAATAACTAATACAATTCAGGCTTAATTCAGTACGCAATAAGAGCAAGACAAATTTTAGCAGAAAAACTTGGCTTTCGTCGCCAATCTTGTGATACACAGCCAATAATGTATAACGGACACTATTAAGCTACGCTAAAATTATCTTAACTGATTCTAAGGCATTTCATTTAATGCAGCAGACTGCGCTGCTCCTTAATCTTTTAATTTGATCCAGCTTATTATTTTTTGCAGATTGTTATTATTACAGCAATTTTATAAAAATTAAGCTTGAATTTTCGATTATGTCAAAAAGAGTTCCCAGTTCTGGAGCTGCCAAAGGATCTACAAAGTGAAAGCATGTTTCGATGTCCATTAAACAAAAAGTAGAATTGTAGCAAAAATGAACGAAGGCATATATATCTGTCTCAAAATCATGCGAAGGGGGTGGGGGTGTATTTAATTATGGCAAAGCACACTAGGGCTATCTGCCTAAAGGGAGGGATGCCTTCGTGGAGGACTTTCTAAGGGAAATTGGCTCGTATATACGTTACATATGGGGAAAACCCTGAAAACAGCCATGCAGCCAGCCCGTTCGCGGGATTCGAACCTCGGACCGAACTACCAGTGTTCAGCGACTTTACCGCTCGGCCGCTGGTGGGCCAAAATCATGTGAAGAACTATGGCATTGGAAAGTCAACTGTATATGACATAAGAAAAAAGAACTTTTTGAATTTTTTATGGAAGCAACTTAAACAACTTACATTGAAAGAAATGTTTAATAAAGCAAACAAATAAATATTAAGCTTTTCTTTTTTGTAAATTTTTATACCCTTTAGAACATAATTGTTCTTTATTTCATGAGTTACCATTCCATAATTTTAATTATAAAATTTCTGCTTGACATCTTACCAGATTTAAATTGGTGATCTATTATCCGGAAAAGTCCAAAATCTGGAATCGCCGAAGTCCCGACGAGTCCGGAGTCCAGATTTTGGACTTTGTACTGATTTATTTTAAAAGATAATACCCAGTTAAACCGCCCATTAAAATTTTGGATTTGACTGTAAAAATGACCTATTCTTCATATTTAATTAATAGGTGTTAAAAAATACATACACATTAGATCATGCTATTTCAGGTAAAGTACACTTCTTATGACTTAATTACTTGTTAATGTAATTTTTTTTTTTTTTTTTTTTGGCACAGCTGGCGCTGAACAGGAAATTTTTTTTACATTGTTTACACTTTGTCTGTCATTTATAAGTGGAATATCCTAATTCTAGTCGGATCTCTGCATTTTCCCTCCAATCTCTCACAAATCAGCCTAGAATTGTAGCAATTTTGATTCTGTGCTATGATACTATATATGTTCCTATGAAAAATTTTTAAATAAACCTAAAATTGAAATTAGCAGGGAGCAAAGATAATGCCCATTGTTCACATGACAGCAAGAATAGGTTATAAATGCTCAGGTGAGCCTACCTTCGATGCTGTCTTGTGCTGTACTTGTGACTTTGCGACTTCATCTGAGCTTCTAGGCAGCACTTCCTGGACCTTCCTGCCAGAGTCAACAGCCGTCAACCCTTGCGCCAACGACTGTGAAACGCGAAATTAAGTTGACTCAGTCACATAATAAAAAATTCACCATAAAAGAAGCATAGGAGAAGAAGTTAAATTTTATCAAACTGCTTCTTCATTTTTCATTATATTTACAGATGGGATGTGTATGCAACACTTAACAAACTTAATTCATAAAAATTTGAATTTCAATGCAATGCAAATCTCTATTATATAAAATATCAACAGCAAAAGAATAAATAAGTAACAAACGAGTGCAGAATTCAGATCAGCTATTTCATCATCGCATTACAAAATTTGATACCTTTCCCTTTACTAGGCCAGTGGGATAAACGTATGCGAATGCGCTAATATTAACATTGGCAAGAGTAAATGTAAGCATAGAAACATTCCTGAAAAATCATTTTATTACATTCCCCTCAAAATTAAACAACAGGAATGAAATCATAAATATCATTTAACAAAGAAAACATTTCAGTTTCTGAATGATATGACACCATACACACTCTAATAAGTAAGAATCTAAATGATGGCAAGCAGTGTCTCTTTTATTATGCCACTTTGGCTTATAATTCCTTACTAAATGTAGTATTTCATCTCGATGTACTCCGTCTTTGATATGATTTAAATCAAATTCATCATCATAATTCGCTTCCGATAGTGAAGAAAGTGACACAGAGGTTATTGAAAACGAAAAAATTTCGATTGACAAATTAGTCGGTATTCTCGGCACAGCAATTATAGGATTTGAACAGCGGAACTTTGTAACTGAAGAAGAAATTATGTCTGTTTATAGAATTAAAGAGAAAGTATTATCACATAAAACGAAGCAACTTAAACAACTTACATTGAAAGAAATGTTTAATAAAGTAAACAAATAAATATTAAGCTTTTTTTTTTTTGTAAATTTTGATACCCTTTAGATCATAATTGTTCTTTATTTCATAAATTACGGTTTCATATTTTTAATTTTATAATTTCTGCATGCCATCTTACCAGATTTAAACTGATGATCTATAATCCGTAAAAATCGATAATCCGGAATCGCCAAAGTCCCGACGAATCCGGATTAACGACTTTTGACTATATATTCGGTAATCAGTCTGTTGGTTTAAAAAAAAAAAATTGTTATTTACAGGAATGAAAATGGAAATCCAGAAATGGTGAGTCAGAGGGCTTCATGTGGTTAATATTTTTTAAGTGGTGCAAAGTTGGAAATATTAACGCATTAGCATACATTTGGTCTACCACCCTGCTATTAGAAAAGCCCCCCAAATTATTTAGCTTTCTGAACACTAACTGACATTAGATTTTACAGTTAAATAATCAGATTTATCTCCAACCTAACTCTGACTTCTGGCATATCTAGTAAAGGAAAAGGAATACGTAACTGATTTAGACTCATCATCTGAATTTTTTTTTTTTTTTTGATAACATGCATAATGTTAAGATTCGAAATTAAAGAAAACTTACAACACATTTAACGTAGGTTTATATTTTTAGCTCACGTAAACAATTTGAGTGTGTTTAGGTGCATGCTCTACATTACAACATGAACTTCATAAAAGTAGTCTCTTTTTCAAAGGAAAAATTTGTGGCACAGAAATAACTAAATAAATACTATTGGAAACTTGAAAGGGGTGAGCTTGCATGGAAGACAAATATATGATTTTTCACAATGACAACACTTGCAAAGAAGGGAAGATAGTTTAGCTAAGGTCCAACATAACAGTCCAAAATCTTGGAAAGAACTTTGCTAAGCATGTTTTTATTACCAAAACTAAAACAGCACTCTACAATAATTCTTACCTAAACATCAACAGAATTTTTTTAAATTTTTGTTTATTTAATAAAATTGGTAATCGCACAGTATGTCTTCCTTCCTCTGCATAACATGTGCTTTTATTTAATATGCAGTTTAATGTACATCCATTCTCTTTTTTATTTCCTTCATTACAGATGGCACTTTAAAGTAATAACTCCTATTAAAAAAGTTTAATTAAAGGGCAGACACTTCAAAAATTATTCTTCTGTACATTCAATGTACACAAGGGCTAATGAGGAAGATATTCCCAACACAAAAAATAAAAAGGAACAAGACCACAATCACCTACTTGTAATGCTGTATCTTGTACGTTTTTGAACAAGTTCACATCACTATCCGTGACACCAGGAGGAAGAGTAGATTTTTGTTCAACTACAGTATTATCTATATAAATAGAACAACAGAGATAATTTTCTCTTAAACATTATATCTTAAAATTGTGAATTACTGACACACACACAAACAAATAAAGACAAAACAAACAAACACACACACACACACACCAAAAAAAAAAAAAAAAAAAAAAAAAAAAAAAAAAACTGTCTACAGTTTGCAATTTTGAGTAAGACCACAATCCTAGAAATTATACTGATATCAATTATTAAAATTACCCAAACTGAAACAGCATTTTTATATTTTATTATAATTTAACATTCTTAAAAGGAAAATTTATTATATAAAATTTGGAATTAGAGTTTAAAAAATACAGGTCCCACAATACGCGAGTTTTATGCAAAATGGCATTATATAAAAAAAATCTGCTCATAAATGTCACAAGGGAAAGCAGAAATGTTGGCAGGAAATTGTCAGTTCTATGTGAATCTCATTTAAATTTTACAGTGATTTGTATTTTATAATACAGTAAACACTTGTTAACATAAATATCAAGGGACCCAAAAAATCCTGAGTTCTTGTTAACAGGGGACTCAAATATTTTAGGAATAAATTTTTCTACATATTAACCATTTATAGTATATAGTTACATAATGCTACGGTATATTAGTATGTTGTCATAGGAAAAACTACAGTACTACATTAATTACTGTACTGTTAACTTGAAAAATTTACTCACTGATCACCAATTTCATGGCTTCTGTAAAACCAGGGCTGTGGAGTCGGAGACATGGAGTCAGGCAGATTTTGGGGTAAAAGGAGCTGGAGTCGCTAAAAACAGGTCGACTCTGACTCCAGTTTTTGTTGGACAATTTGAATTTGAAATGAAATTAAAGACAACCTGAGTTATTATTTTTATTTATGGACTATTTGCCATTAGTGATTAAACTGACTCATTTAGTTACAAATCTCACTGGTAAATTTAGGTAAGAAGCAATAGCTAACAAAATTGATGCCATTCTTAGGAAGCGAGCAGGAAAAGGAGCAATTATTGATCAAGCAACACGATGAGGAAGTACATATTTGATGATAAAGAGGTTACTAGAATTAAGAACTTTTTTAGAAGATGTAGATAACTGTAATGTTTCACTAACAGAATGCCTGTGAAATGATCTTGCAGAATTGGAAACTCTTCCTCTATACCCTATATAGCCACAAAAAAGCTGCAATCTGAAGAACTGACAAGAGGCGAGAATGGAAGATTGTGATGTTTGTTCTTTCTGAAATGGAGGGTTTATTGAAGAAGGAATCATTTCTTTAATGAAGAAAAGAGGAACTAGTTTGCTAGACAAAGAGATCTTGCTGGGTTCAATATATGTAGATCTGAAATACCGAATTTTCTTGGATGACGAACAAATTAAAAAGGGCAAAGAAAGCCAATCTATGAACTTTCATTAAGAAGAAATTATTCTCAAAACGATTGGAGAATTCGAATCAGAACAGTCAAACTGCAGACATTGCAATTAAGTCTTTATCATCTTCTTCTAGTGATGAATTAGATTTTGAGAAACATTTTTGGATAATATTGAAAAGGCTAAGGCAAAGCGAATGAAAATAAAGAACCAAGAGCCTTTTGATATAAAAATGAAAAAATATAAACAAGATTTCTACATGGCTTTTGAAGAAATAGAGAAATATGATTGTGCTTGTAAGACACCTTTTTTAGAACTTTTAAAAATCTATCCTGAAAAGTTAAAAGAAGTAGGCTTAACAATAACAGCTCTTCCTCCTATTCAAGTTAGCGTGGAAAGTTCTAGCTCTGAAGTTTATCAAATCGAATTTATGGCCCTCCAACAAAGATCTTGCCGAAGCTACACTGTTTCTTAGAAATAACTAATGCCAGTTTTTCCATTTCACAATAAATGCTAATTAATATAAATAACTTGCTATGTCATCAATTTTTTTCCCTGTAGCATCGATTACTTCTTTTATATTAAAAAAAAATAAGCTGTAACCCATATGTATATGTTTACATATATATATATGTGGGAGTCAGAGCCAAGTTGGAGTTAGAGTCTTTAAAATTCCAGGAGTCAGAGTCAAGAGTCTGAATCGGTCATTTTCTCTACCAACTCCACAGCCCTGTGCAAAACTAGTGGTCAACTTGAATGTTGCAGAAAAACATTCTACAGTGTATAAGGTGTGTAACTTTTCCTGGCAAATAGGCAGAATGATATTTTCATCTTCACTTTCTTCTGATGACATTTGTTACACCTCGGATACAACTGCTTATACATTAAATTTCACTGCAGCACACATGACAATGTCATCATCTGCACTAACAAACTCTTCAAAACTCAATGATGCAGTGATAATGATACAGTGATAGTCAAGCATTGTTACTCATGCTGATTTGCTCTGTGAGGAAATCAGCATGAGTAACAATGCTTGACTATCACTGTATCATTAACTGTATCATTTATAACTGTTTCAAGAAGTGAAAGAAGAAAGAATAAACAAATACAAATATAGTGTTTATGTTTTTAAGTGCTCATATCAGTATGATATTAATATCATTTAAACAGGATAGAAAATTTCTGAATGCAGACCTAGCACAGAAAATTGAAAAAATTTGAAAATTTGTGTTAACTTATAAAATCTAATGAAGCAATGGACTAAAAACAGTTCATAACTCGTGTTAACCAATAAAATCTCTTTAAGATCATATACATCACACTATCAGGGCTGAAAATTTGTTCATGTTAATTTAGTAATTGTCTTAAGCAGGTTTGTGTAAAGGGGTTTACTGTATAAATAATTAAATAAGATATCACATAACCAAAGAAAATTAATAATAGTAACAAAATGAAAAAATAATGACTAGAATTCTAATAGAAGTGAAAGAAGAAAGAATAAACAAATACAAATATAGTGTTTATGTTTTTAAAGTGCTCATTTCAGTATGGCAATATCAATGATCTGCATTATTCTTAAAAATTAGGATGCAATCAAAGAAGCTGATGTTGCAAAAGGAGTTAGAGAATTGAAATATATAAAACAGATATTGCATATAACTGAAAAATGCGGCGAAATTGAGACTTATTTAGATAAATGTGTAAATGTTAGCTGGTAACAATGTTTTCCTTTGTAAGACAGCAAAGTGATTTTATGATGACATTCTAAGGTATATTTTAATTTTAAAGTCCCTTTCCTATTAATTCTTGTTTTTATTTACAACTCCCTACCAGAAGGAGTTTTTAGAATCACGTTGAATGCAAATGAGTTAGATGAACTTACTTCGTGAGAGAGAGAGAGCTAGGAATGCTGAGTAGCACGTGTTTACCTTTGGGGCTATGCCTTTCTTAAAGCTGTTGAGCTCAGCCGTGTTATTACGTGCCTTTTGATATCCGCCAGATAGTTTAGATTATGGACCAACTACGTTAGATACTCGTGTTTAGCTTCATCCAAGTCCCCTTTGGTTAGTTATAGTTTAGTTTCTTATTCTGAGTTAAAGCCCGAATGGAGGCTTTGTGGTAAGCCTGAGAAAGGGGCCAACTGTTATTCTTATTTGAGTAAAATAAAGGATAGTTTAATCCTTCTTGAATCTACATCTTTAGTTATTTGAGCTCAGTGATAAGTCACTAAACAGTTCACTAGGTTTCTTGATGTTCATCTTAGACAAAAAGGGTGAGAAACCGTCTAACATCGTAAAAAATACCTCAGATACTGATGTTTTCAAGGCTACCAGAAAACAGATTAAGAAAAGAAACAGCGTACATACCATAATAAGGCGTCGGGTAGCAGTAAGTATGAACAAAAACAAAACTGCCAAGGAACTTGTGCAAGATTTTATCAGCTATGTAAAAGTTGAAAATATTTTTTCCTCTGCAAGTATTCAACAGTGATGAAACCGCTTTACTCTGGAAAAATGCCAAAGAGAATATACAGCAAACAAGAAGAGGTATTATTACCTGGATAAAAGTCAATGAAAGATAGTTTAATACTTTTGCTATGTGAAAAAGCAAGAGGAGACATAAGGCCAAACCACTCTGTACTACTCAAAGAATCAGAAAGCATTAAAAAAAGGTGATTAAAACTACACTACCTGTTATGCCGAAAGCCAACTGTAATGCTTACTAGGCAATTTTTATCAGGCAGATTCATGAAGATTTTGCCCCAGGTATAGAAAAACAATAATGAGAAAAAAATTTTGATGGTGAAGAGCTTACTTTTGATACACAGTGCACCTTTGAAGCACTGAAGATAAGTTGGTGGAGTTAGATTTCATCATAGCGAAATTTCTACCTTCTAACATGACTTATCTAATGCAGCTCATGGATTAGATAATTTTTGGAAGCACTTTATAGAAGTGTCCTTAGGTATCTCTGACACAGATATTACTCACTGACTTTTGGAAACATCCTTTTAATGTTTCTCACTGTAAAAGTCACATGGGAAAAGCCTGACAGCAAGTGATTAACCATGAATTGGGATTGGATTAAATTGTGGCCAGAATTTGTTACAAGCAGAGACTGAGTGCTTTCACACTGAGAAAGCTTTTGCTACTGTTGAGAGTGCACTTTTAAGCATAAAATTAAAAACTGGGACTTGGAAATCAACAATGAAAATGTGGAAGAGTTGCAAGAACACCATAAAAATAAACTCAGAACTGAAGATCTGAAACAACTTCTGAAACAAGCTGCATAAACCTTTCTGCTCTGAATCACATTTCAATTTTTCAGGAGAAAGTTATTCAAGGACAACCTTTATTTGTAAAGCATATCTTTTTCTCAAAAAGAGAACAAGAAAGAGTAGCATCTTCCTCTCTCTTGGTAAATTCCAAGGTTGTGAAATCCACTGTAGTAAATAAAAACAAATAAATACGCTGATTTTATTTTTTTTTTAAAGTGGTTGCATGAATGGAGATAAAGACAATTATCAATAGGAAAGAAGCCCAACAAAATAAGCAATACCTAGCATCAAGAAAATACACCCTTCCGGGGGAAGCTCTAAGCAGTATGGCTTTAACGGAAACAAATGTACTTCCATTA